GTGTCCTTAAACGCTTGCAGAGGGTATTACAGAGGAAATGTTCAGTCAAAAGATACCGATACATTCACAATCTGCTGAGCCGACCCAACTCTTATCACCCGTAGCAGGGCGCATTATCAAATCCGGTTGTTGCGCAGAATGTCAAGACATGCTTCCTTCTCCTTCTCCAGAGACAGAGAAGAGAAAAGGAGGAGAATTCCTGCAATTTCCGTTCAGATCAGAAGGGCAGAGCATCAGCCACGATAGTCCAGTTTCTCTTATGATGCTTTAAAAAAAAAAAAAGCTAAAATGGAGTTCAAGAAGTCCAGATGTGCACCTGAAGATTATATGTGTGTGTGTGTGTATATATATATATATATATATATAGAGAGAGAGAGAGAGATTAAAAGATATCTTTATCTAACCTGAAACTATTAATGTATCACAAACTAACTAAATGAAATAAAAATCAAAGACTTCTTACAAACACACGGTTATTTGACATTTTGCACATTTTCATTTTCTGTGTGAAAAAATTCAGCCAACTATTGTAATTGAAAGTACATTTGATTCCACCCATTAAAACATGTCAAATTAACTCAGTTAAAGAAAAACAAATTAACAAGTTAGCTTTCTATAAACACACCATCTGATTCACAATAGTGTCCAGACATGTATTTAAACCTGACTTCCCTTTGTTTAGATTTATTAAATTATGAGGTCGGTTTGGCTCATCAGGTATCAGGCTGGTGCTTTCGGTACTTCTGAGTTGGGTAGAAAACACTCAAACGTGGCCTTAAAATGCCACTATCGACGTACGCCGCGCTTTAAAGCCACGATGATAATGGGGGCAATTTATGATTAGGGAATCTTGACAGCCCTCAAGCCGTCCGGTTTTCTTGTGCTCCGGATAAAGGGAGCAGAACAGTGTCATCTGCTGAGGTGTCCCACTCATTCTTCTTTGGCCCCCGCGGACCCCCCGGGGACACATTAGTCTCATAATGCTTTGTCATCACCATTGGTTAATGGACCTCACAGCAGTCTGTTAAAAACAGCCCTGATCAATACCCAGTGTGCACAGAAAAAAAGGATCAGGTCCAAAAAACGGAGCAACTTTTCTTTCTGTCTTTTCTTCTAACCTGAAATACTGTCCAGTTGTCAATATCAGCCATGGCTGCTGGATTGAATAGGGGTGGGGGGGGCTCATTCAGATGGTAATACCTAGCAACACAAGCCTGTGAGAAAGACAATGAGATCCTCTGACTTGTGGAGGACTCAGATTTGGTCTTTTTTTCATGCACGGTGCTGTCTTTTCGGGCACCTGTGGCACATTTGAATATTTTTGTAGGAGGTGGGAAAATAGCTGTAGATACCCAACAGCGTCCAGAGTCCACATGTGGACCTCTCCTCCCGGTAAAACTCCCTTTGTGATCCAAACATAAAAAGCAGCCGTGTCGTATTTCCAAAAACAGTAGAAAAAAAGCTAATTCTGCCCTTTTCTCTTGTCTAAATAAATTCTAAAGCTCTATATTAATTTTATCTAAAAAAAACCTGCATGTTTTGTGTTGGTGAACTTGCAAACTCCACCCCCCAGAGGGATTTGACCCTGGATCTTTGCAGTGAAGCTTGCTTGCTCCATTACTCTGTTATTATTAACCAGATGTGTCATTACCCTTTTTTTAATTATACGTTGCATCTGTAAAAGTAACAGAGTCAGAAGATTGTCACCACTGATAACCGGAGTTTCAGCAGCTGGTGGAAGGAGGGGGGGGGGTCATTGTCTGAGTTGTTTGATGCCACAAAAGGGTTTGATTTAGCCTGAGTGAATGCGATTTGCACTGTCGAGCACACAACTACCCCATTATTTAAAAAACTGTCTTGGTATATAAACAGCATCTGTGTCACAGATGGAAGAACAGTGCGTTGGAGAACCAACAGGAGCAACACAAAAGCAGGAAAACCACCGTCCAGAGGAAATCAAACCGTACCAGTGACCGTACATTTCTTTATTTTAGGTCAGAGATTCTGCTTTAGCCACTGGAGGAATGTCTGAAAGTGGGTCTGCTTTTTTTTTTACAAGGACTCGCATGAACAACTGGACCAGTTGCCGTGACGAAAAGAAGAGAAACCGGATTCAAACGCACACCGAGGCTGCTCCGTAGGGCTCAAAACAACGATTAAACGTGGATCGATTGACCTTTTTCTACACAATCAAACATCTCAATTGGAAATCACATCCCTGTGAACATGCGCTGCGTCATTAAACGGAAAAAACTGGAGGGAAAGTTCGGTTCTGGACCCGAAGAGACTCCTGAAAAGCAAGAAAAACATGTGCAAATACATGTGAATCCAGAATTCTATGATATCTATAACTGAATGCGACAAGTAAAAGGAGCTGTGTGAGGATATTGAAGTTAAATTCTCTGGTTACTTTGCTCATCCTCAAGTGTTTTGACATCATTGTTTTCGGCCCCTC